GATAATTGAGCATTAGTGACAACAGCGGTCTTTGTGTGTTGTTGTTGTCGCCGTGAGAGAGAGAGAGAGAGAGAGAGAGTCTGTCTCACTGCTGCCTAGCAACACGGAAACAGCCACGGCCTGCAACTCACACTCACGGAGATTGTGGTTGGTTGGCGGGTGCTCTGGTGTGGTTTGCTCCTTCTCAATTGCTGTCCGACATACCGTATATCGCTCTTTTCTCTCCTCCTTCTTTTTTGTGTTTGTAACCTCTCTTGTAACCTCTCTTGTAACCTCTCTTGTAACCTCTCTTGTAACCTCTTGTAACCTCTCTTGTAACCTCTCTTGTAACCTCTTGTAACCTCTCTTGTAACCTCTTGTAACCTCTCTTGTAACCTCTTGTAATCTCTCTTGTAACCTCTCTTGTAACACCTCAAATCTATTCTTCCGCACTTATATGACCTAATTGTGTTGCAAGTGCCGTAAAACTCTTACGAAAATTAAACACGGAGATTGGCGCCTCTGATGGCGCGCACACGCGCAACTGCGTTCATACACGCGAACGTACGCTCATACACACGCCTACACACGCTCGCACGCTCACACACACATACATACACACACACACACACACACACACACACACACACACACACACACACACACGCGCGCGCGCGCGCGCGTATACATACACATACAAATATACATACACATAACACACACATGAACAAACTTAGAACACACACACACACACACACACACACACACACACATCGATCATGAAAACACTCATCCCGTAATTAACCACTAGAACAGGGGTCACCACACTATGGTCCGAGGGGTCAGTTCGTCCGGCTTGCCGCCATGCCATCGTGCATGCAGGAATACTTAGAAGTTTTTGTAGCGTGGTCCGGTCACGGCTTGGTCTTCAAATTAATATAATGATTTCATAGGACTTTACGGTGCAACTAGGACGTAGTTTTATAGATTTCGTTACTTCTGGCTAATGCATTACATTCTTGCTCAGCTTTAATGTGACAGATCCTTCCTTTTTTACATCAGTATATTGTATTGAACAAAATACAGTAATATTCTGGCCTGCGTTCAGCATTCTCTCAGTTATCCGGCCCACTTAGTTAAAATATAGTCTGGGGTATTTTTTTTCTAATGCAGGTGGGGGTTTTCTGTCCCCATAGAAATAGAAATAATTAAGATCGTTTAGGGGGTAGCCTTTGAACCTTGAGTGCTGGGCCAATCCGGGTTAGAAAGGGACTAGACAAAAAATCTCTCAATTCGTGAATCAAACTCGAATCTTTTGAGTGCGAGAGCGTGACGACAAAGCGACTAACCACTGCACCACTGAGGACTGAAAAATTGTGGTGAAACCCTGCACTAGAAGAAACACTGGCAAAAGTAAAGAACAGTCGGACCTGTCTAAAGGTCGCCTGAACGCCACAATCACGCGTACAAACAGTCACCACCCATTTACCCCCCCCCGGAGGATTTTTCTTTTTCCTTTTCAAACAAAAAAATAAAACCCCATTATAATGACACTGTGTAAGACGTCCACTTGTCTTAGCCAATCTCTTCTCTCCTTTACAGAGAGTGGCCGTCGTTGCCAATTTCTACTTATTTATATATTATATGTAAGACATTCCTCACCTTGACATTCTGGGAGCCCAGGTCGATGGTGCGTGTGCACTGGTCCAGGCCTATAGTAGACTGTTTCCCAGTGGCCTGTGTAAACGTGTCGTTCATGAAGCGGCGGAAGATGGAGCTCTTGCCCACGCCGTACTCGCCGTGCAGGATCACCTTGAAGCTGGGGATGCCCGTGGCCATGATGGCCTGGCTGAGGGGACACAAGAAAATATCAATGTTATCAAGACGATTATCTTTAGTTTTCTAAAAGTTTTACGGCACTTGTGATACTATTAGGTATACATTTATAAGTGTCGAAGATTAGAGGAGCTACAAGAGAGTAACAAACACAAAAAGAAGGAAGGGGGTTAAGGACTATATGGATATTCGATGAGAAAGATGGAACAAACCACACCAGAGCACACGTCAACCACACATGACGATTATCTGGAGAGAAAAGAGTAGGTGTACGGGTTTACAGCTCCTACTAACACTATTAAGGTTATTTAAGAGGCAGGACCTCCGCATTTAACGTCCGGGTCCGACAAAACTGTGCCAAACAACATTGGGAGCCAATTTCAATTATGTCCAGTCGGGG